ATAGTCCAGTTTGGATGGAGTTGATTCAAGAGAAAGAGGAAAGAAGATCCTTGAGAGTTAATGAAAATTTGTTTAGACAAGAGAAGAATGTTCAAAAACTAAAGGAGTGTTTAAAGGACTATTTTGCTTTGAATATGTATCAGGGGACTTCAAGGTCAATGGTATGGGATGCAGGTAAAGCATTTATGCGCGGTGTTTTGATAAAAATGAATAATTTTTATAAGCGAAATCAGACTCAGAAACGTAGAGAACTTGAAGATGAAATTAAACTAAAAGAAAGGGCTTTGATTCTAAATCCTTCTGATGAAAGTACTAAAGAAACTGTAAAGTTATTAAGGTCACAATTTAATATGTTGATAGCAGATCAAGCTGCAACCAATTTATTATTTATGAAACAAAATACATTTTGTAATGCTAATAAGCCGGGGAGATGGTTGGCTTATCAATTAAGAAAGAAACAGAGTCTGAGAATAATAGAGAAAATAAATTATAAGGGTAAACTAGTTTCTCAGAAGGAATTAATTAAAAAATCTTTTTTGGATTATTATCAAATCCTATACAAATCTACTAATGTACAACTGTTAGATATAAATAAATATTTAGCTGAGGCAAGTTTTCCTAAACTGACTGAGGATCAGAAATATGAAATTAATGGTTTAATTACTATGGAGGAAATCGCCTCAGCAATTCAACAATTGAAATTAGGGAAAGCACCGGGTACGGATGGGTTAACAGCTGTTTATTATAAAGCTTTAATGGAGGAGATGATCCAACCATTTAATGATCTTTTTAATGGTATCTTACAGGGTTTAGAGATTCCTCCTTCATGGCGTAGTGCTTTTATATCATTGATTCCAAAGGAGGATCAAGATCTTACTTTACCAAAAAACTATAGGCCTATATCTCATTTAAACGTGGATTATAAGATATTTGTAAAAATTTTGGTAAATAGGCTTATGAGGGTGGTGCATCATCTTGTGCATAAAGATCAATCAGGGTTTATAACAGGAAGATATATGAAAAACAATGTTAGACAAATTATTAACTTATTAGAATACTTAGATAAGAACAACCAAGTTCCTGCAGGGCTCATATTTTTAGATGCTGAAAAAGCATTTGACCAACTGAATTGGCATTTTATGCTAAGAGTAATGGAAGAAATGAATTTTGGTGAAAACATATAACAAGCCCTTAAGGTAATATATCAAAAACAAACAGCACAACTTATTGTTAATGGAGGTTTGTCGGAGGTTTTCACAATAGAGAAAGGTACTAGACAGGGGCGTCCTTTATCGCCATTGTTGTTTGTTTTAACATTGGAAATATTATTGATTAAAATTCGAGAGTCTCAGGAAATTAAAGGAATATATGTTAATAAAAAAGAATATAAGGTGAGAGCTTTTGCGGATGACTTGGTTGTTACTTTGTCGCAACCTGATTATTCTGTAGTAAACTTATTACAGTTGATTCACCATTATGGTTTGGTCTCTGGTTTTAAGATTAATGTAAATAAGACTAAAATTTTACCTAAAAATTTGTCGAGTCAGGAGAAGCAGATTTTGGTTAACTCGACGGGTTTTGAGATTGTTAATAAGGTAAAATATTTGGGGGTGATGCTGTCTGTTTCTAATGCAAAATTATTTAAAAACAATTATGAAAGGTTGTTGGTCGGGGTACAGAAAGACTTGAAGAACTGGGAAAAGCTGCAATTATCCCTCATGGGAAGAATTGCAGTGATAAAAATGAATATTCTACCCAAGTTTCTTTTTTTGTTTAAAATGTTACCAATTTTGAAAAATGAGATTAATTTAAATGAGTGGCAGAAGGGTCTCAATAAATTTATTTGGGCAGGGAAAAAACCAAGGGTTAAGTTCAAAATTATGCAAATTTACTTTATGGGTGGCATGCCTATTTAATATTTAATAAAAAAATAGATTGGGCTTTTAAATCTCATATTTTAAGAATTTCTTTACTTAGGATTTGGAGAAAATATTATAAAAGTGATTTTAAAGTACCATTATGGGCTATACCTTGGCATGCGATAGACGGAATAAAAAGAGGGGTTAAAATGGATATGGTGTCTTACAGACAGTTACTTAAATGGGATGGACAAAACTGGCAATTAAAATCACGGGAAGAATTAGCACAAGAAAATTTTACTTATTCTTGGTTCCAATATAGGCAACTACTAGATAGATGGAAGATGGATTGTAAGTTGGGTTTTCTTAGAGAAGATGAAAATCTTATTAAGCAACTGAAGGATCAAAGACAAACCCACATTAAGAGAATTTATGGGGTTTTAGTTGAATTGGACTCAGAAACGGAACTAATTAAAGATTGTATGATTAGATGGGCGCAGAACTTTTGTGAGCCAGTTTCATTGGACACCTGGGAAACTATTTGGGTGAGAAATGTCAAATTTACTCAAGCACAGAATCTAAGGGAGAATTTTTATAAAATGTTTTATAGATGGCACCTTGATCCACAAAAAATGTCTTACATGTACCCTGACGTGCAACCTAAATGTTGGAGATGTGGTTATAAGGATGCTTCCTATTATCATATTTGGTGGTCATGTAATAGATGATAAAAGCATTTGGATCAAAATATGGTGGAATATCCAGAGATTTTAGAAGAGGGTAAAATTTACTCCTCAATATTTTGTTAGGTATTGTTTACAGATTGTGAATACAAGGAGGTTGTATTGATTGTTAAACTTGATCACAGCCGCGAGCTGTTATTGGACATATTTGAAGATGAATCTTTGCCTACATTGCAGAATGGTTTCTTAAAAGTAGCTTATCTGGCAGAATGGCAAAGATTTTCGGCTTTCTTAAAGCAAACAAACCAAGAAAGTTTTTTGCTATCTGGGACAAATGGATAAAATTAGCAATTACGATTGGGTATGACAAAATATTCTGTAGCTTTTTCATAAGTTTTTCTATTTTTATATATATTATAGATATCTTTTGTTAATATATATAATATAAAGGTTTTTAATTTAATTTTTATTTTTATTTTTTTTTTTTTTTTTATTATTATTATTTTCCTAAGCCTATATTCTGCTCTGGTAAGCCTCAGGGGGGGGAAGGGAGGGTTTTTGGGAGGTGTGGGGGTGGGGGTTTTTTTTATATGTATGTTTAATTTTTTCTTTTGTATATGTTGTTTTTTTGTTCTGTATTGTTTTTTTTTTTTAAAATTTATAAAAATTTTAATAAAAAAAAAAAAAAAAAAAAAAAAAAAGTAAATAGTTTAAATATATGTCAATTCAAACAAAAATTTGTATTCCTACTATCCTGGATATTTTTTTGTCAATTTCTTTTTCTAAACTCATATTTTTAAATAACTAAAATATTAATTAGAAAAATTGCACAAGGGGTGTTTAAAGGTTCAGAGGATTTGACTAAAAGACAGTGCAAAACGAGTTTTTCCTCTTTTTATTTAAACTAATGATAAAACATAGCACGAGTACAACTTTTGTTTCCAGTCAAGCTTTGCAAATATGATTTAGTTTCTAACTGCTCTGCATAACAAAGCGAAAGTTTCACCAGATAAACCTGGTTGTATTTGATACATACTGCTTTATATTGCTACAATATTTATATCGCCACTCTATTTGATTTTTCTTTATGTCCACAAATGTTGACTGTACTTAAATGCTATTTGATGTATATTTTTTCCTCTGGTACTAGAATGAAACCTGGATTGATTAGCTTTGAATGATCTCTGCTGAATACTGTATCATAGCAATCAACACTGGTTGAATGTTATTATCATCCCAGTGGTTTTACAGAAAAGAATCCAATTAAAATGTGTTCTATTTATATTTGTATCCTTCTTGTGAACATAAATATATTGGTAATACTAACTCCTGGATATAAGGAACCTGGCTAATATAAGTAAGGGACCTACTAGGGTCAGATCAAGAGGGCATTGATTGACACTTGGAATGCCAAAGTGGGTCATCCTTTTTTAACAATCACAGAGGTCCAAAAATGAAAACACCGTTTGGAGGAGCCAATCCTAAAATGGACAAAGGGAGGGAGCTCTAATCTGAACTAACCAAAATGAGGATGAACCAGAACCAACCAGCACCAATAAGTTTGAAGATAATGAGGATTCTTGAGGACTTTTATTATTTATTTATTAATGAATTCAATTTGTTTAATTTTTTTGTGTGGCAAGCAACAAAGTAAAACAATACTATAGAAACATTATTATTGGTTTGCACGACTTTACGCCTACCTCCTAATTTATATCTTGCCCTTTCAAACAGCTGCCCGGTGCTTCCTTGCTTCTTCCTCTATCTCTGCTTCAATCTTTCCCAGCCAGTCTGAAGTTGTCAAATACAGAGCAAAATCGCATCTGGCTCTTATTATCTGCATTTAGGTGTACTCTTATGCTTATGATTTTCCTTGCTGTTGCCTATGTCTTATAAGCTGTGTGCTCATCACAATTACTTGCAGAATTCTTTTAGTAAATCAAAATAACAGAATAAAGAATAACAGAGTTTCTCCATATTTGACCAAGTGAGCTTCTCCATATTTGTACAATCTGTCTCTAAACCTCATTTAAATCAGAAGTATAAGTCAATCCTCTTCCTTCTCACAAAGTTTTTTTCAGCCTTAGGGCAAGCAATGCCCATTGGCAATATAATCTAATATATACATGAATATGAAGTCTCAGTGAAAATAAGTGGAAAGGCATGCCAGAGCTAGCCATTTCTTCTCCTAGTGTGCATATGGACTGGTTCCCCAGAATGGAAGCCTGTTAGTAGTTACATGGAAGAGAGGATAGTCCATGGCTGAATTTTTTTTCTCTGTAAGGTTGTCCTATCCTTTTCAGAAGGCCATCAAAAATATTCTTGCCAAGTGATGTAAGTTATCTGACCATAGGCTGCGGACAGGATTGCTATATTTCAGTCCCAAATTGTGCCGCACTACATAATAAAAACCAGATAGCACCCATTCATTTAGATGCAGGTTAAACCAAACTTGTACCTTGATTTTCATCCAACTTTCCAATTGTCTCGATCTGCTCCACCAAGTCATTGGAATTCCACTGGCTCATCCCCAGAAGAATGGCATTCTTCCCTTCAGCCACCTCCTCTATAAAAGAGGGGGAAAAAACAACCATGTAATTTCAATAATGGCCTAGATTCAAAGCAGAGGCAGGATTACTTCATTGACAATCAACAGAAAGCAAAATCAGCCTAAATGGAAAATACCCAGGTTTTCCAGAGAGCTTTGCAAGGACATATGCCTCATATAATATACCTGTCTATAGTTTAATACATCTCTTTTATTTCCAGTACTTATATTCCATCAGTATATCAAATCTAGGCAGAGCACGATGATAATAGCTAAAGGGTAGATATTCCATGTGAATAGTGAACATTTATATGTGCTATTTTTGAATGACACAGCACCTTCCTTGCTGATCTCCTGATACTAAATTACTGCCCTAGTTGTTGCCAACAATTGCTTCCCACTCACAATATGACCTCACATATTATTTATCATCCCTCCTTTCTTACCAAGACTTGGCTGTCCCCCATTTCTTAGCAGAACTAAGAACAGTTGCCATCTAGCTTAACTAATGACTTACTCAGAGGACTGGACTGCAGAGCAGCCTTCAGCAACCAAGACTCATTAGCACTTGTTGTGTGCTTATAGAAGGCAGATGTAAATTGTCTATCCCTAAAGGGTTTGGATTATTGATGCAATGACTATACAAAAAATCAGACTCCAAGCACTGAAACAATTTGCTAGTTAAGCAGGTACAAATGTTTATAAGGAGTTCAATTGCTACAAAATACAGAGAGAGTTTAATTGCTACTGCCTGGAAAACAGAAATTCCCACATATGTACACTTTAAATGGGAAGGTGTTGAATTTAGGCAAATGGATGGTATAGGCTACATGTCCCACTATCTTCAGGACAAACCCAAGCAAATTGAAAATATATAATCACTACTTATGGACTCCAGTAAAATGGTAAAGGTTTCCCCTGTCCAGTCAATTCAAACTCTACAGGCAGTGCTCATCTCCATTTCTTAGCTGAGGGAGCCACAGCATTGTCCAAAGACATTTCTGTGGTGATATGGCATAACTATATGCCAAGGGGCAGGGAAAGCTGTTACCTTCCCACCGAAGTGATAAATTCTCACATTTGCACACTTTCCAACTGCTAGGTGGGCAGGAGCTGGGGCAAACAATGGGAGCTCACTTCATCGCACGGCACCCAGGTCTTGAACCTGGGCTGTCAACTTTCCATGTGACAAGCTCAGCATCTTTAACCACTGAGCCATCGCCCCCTTGTAAAATGGTATGCAATTACAAACAATAACCCCCTCACCTATTTGTTTGTTTTAAATACTTTACATCCCATCTTATTTCCAGAAAAATTCAGGTACACATTTAAAACACATTTACATAAGCATTATTCTAATAGTAAGAGAAATATCCTAACTTATGCAAGCAGTATTAGCAATAATTTTTAGAGACTAAAGTTGAAAAAGAAAAAAATTAAAACAAATTAGAAAAATATTCATCCAAAGGAAATTTTAAATAATCATTTTGCCAACCATTTAACACCGACTGACAGGAGCTGCCCACTGTAATTCACAGTGTCTGCATTCACCCAGCATACTGAATCTGCTTACTGAATTAAAACATTTTCTGGATTTGCAGAATTTATTGCACTGCCAAATAACCAGACAGGCTGGGTGTACCCCAGATTTTAAACCTGGTTCACGTACATATTCTCTGAAAGGAGTTAATCGAAGTTACTAGCAATTAAGCACATGTTGTACAAATGTTTACATTTTTAATTTGACTTGGATAAAAGTGTCACATGAATGTAGCCTAAGTTGCAAGATAAAAAGTAGAGATCTGGATAATGACAGGAGAAGTTTGTGAGAAGAAAGACCTCCTTTGAGCTGTCCAGAGTTGAGCATACATAATGAAAGTTTTACATGTTAATGCCAACCATTTGAGCTGAGCACGGAAAAAAGTGAAGCAAATTTATAATCAACAAAACAGTTGTGAGATAGGTTTATGTGCCTAGCCCTAGACAGTATCCTGTAATTATTTGCATTTGTGGGAGTTTCTGGGGGCTTGTAAGGAGAAGGCCATTCTCACATGCTGTAGTATGATTATAGTAATTTAGGGGTTGGACCACTAGATGACATCCAAGGTCCCTCCCAACTCTATTATTCTATGTTCTACTCTGGAAGTAACTAAGGCATATATGGAGGTAAGCTCTGGATTTATTAGTTATTAATAGAGGCCCAACAAAAGCTTTTAAAAAGCTTTGCTTTTACTATTTTTTTCTTTTTTTTTTTTTTTTTTTTTTTTTTTATTGAGAATTTTTAACATTTTACAAAATAAATCCCCTCCCCAAACCCGCCCACCTACCCAGACCCTCCCCCAACTCCCCAAACCTCCCTAACCCTCCCCTGAACCTCCCAGAGTTGATTACAGGCTTATCCAAAATGTTTCAAAAGAAAAAAAAGAAAAAGAACTTAAAACACATATAAAACTTAAGACACCTATAAATCCTAAACAATCCTAAGAACCTTAAATTAAATGAATTATTTCTAGAAAATAATAATAAACACATTATAATATACTCTAAAAATCTTCTAATCTTACTTATAATATTATCCATCCTTCTACATAAGTTTCTTCCAAGACACAATTTTAAGCACTGCTTTCTTTAAACATCTATAACTACAATATAAAGTCAGCATAAATCATAAACAAATCTAAATAGATTTAGTTAAACGAGTTATAGTCCCTCCAAAACACAAATTTAAACAATCAAAACTTGAAACATTAGAACAAACAAATTATAGTCAATCAAAAACACAAATCTAAACATTACTTAAAACTTTAAACATTAAAAATCCCGCCCAAAACACTAAACACATTGTAATATACTCCAATCCTTCTAATATCAAAAATATTATTATCATTTTCATAAACTCCCCCAAAACACAAATTTATACATTACTTAAACTTAAAAAAGGAAAAAAAAAACAAGACACCTTTATACTCATTTAAATCTTATCAGATTCCATCCAAAGTAGACAGTTTATAGCAAATTCCACCCTCAAAAAACACTATAGGAAATTCCATCCACCATAAACACAATAGATATTCAAATCTTCATCAGTAACAAGTTGCAACCACAAAAACCCCAGTCCTTATCAATCTCAATTGTCCATTTTCATTCTCCATTCATTATCATACTGATATTATTATTGTCAGCCTCGATTGTCCATTTTTGTCATAAAGCTTAAAACAAATGCTTTAGGATCTGTCCTCAAAAGCTGCTCCAAATTTTCTGAGTCTCCCAACGACTCAGAAACCAGTACATGTGGGGATTCCTTAATCTCCTTATTCTGTTGGTCTTTTTCTTTACAATTATACGTTGCACAGATTTTCCTCTGCCCCTTCCTCTCAACTTGTTGACGCCCCTCAGGCTGGAATTTCCCCTTTTTCATCTCAGATGACCCTTCCATCCTTGAAGATTGCTCCAAAGGATTTATGGGTCTTGCTTCTCCCACAGATTCAGCAATCACTAGGTGTGAAATTTCATTACTCTTCTTCAGTTGCTGCTTTTCTTTACAGTTTTGTGCTACACAAGTTGTCTCCTGCTCCTCAATCTGAACATGTTGAGATCTCTTAAACAGGGGTTGCCCAATTTTAGAGTCTTCAAACTGTAATTCTACATCCATTTCTTCCAAAGTCTTGAACTTAATAGATGGAGATGAACATACCCCCAATACTGAAGTATAAAAATCTTTTGCTTGAGAAACAGTATTAAGTCTGTAACATATTCCCAGGTAATTCACCACCATTCCAATCGGAACATCCCATCTAAACGAAATTCGTCTCATTTTAAGTTCATTTGCTAAAAAGGCAAACTCCTTTCTTCTTCTTAAAATTTTAGATGGGATCTCCTTTAAAATTATAACATCTTGTGAAGCAATTTGAAATCTCTTCTTATAAAAAGCTTGTATAATTTCATTGCGTAAAGATTTCTTCCCAAAGTAAATTACCACATCTCTTGGCAAATTCTTTTGTACTGCCACCGCAGAGTTAACTCTAAATAGTTTTTCAATTTCACTAAGTATTCCTTCTTTTTCTTTATTCAAAATTACAGCAAAGTCCTTTGCAACCATCTCTTTCAGATCTTCTTGCAAGGACTCTTCCAAGCCCCTAATTCTTAAGGCGTATTCCATTTGACCATATTGAAGCATAAGAATCTCGTTTTCCATTTCTTTTTCCATACTTTCAATTTTCCCCTCCATTAATTCCACTTTTTCAGCTACTTCTTCCACATGGGAATTCAACTTTTCAAGAACAGAAGCAACTCCTTTTAGAGCCAAAACTATGTCTTGCCTCAAAATCTTATTATTTTCTTCCAAAATCTTTTTCATTTCTGCCCTAATTTGAATTGTAAAATTTTCCATCATTTGTTGCATATCCTTCACAGTTGTTGGCTGAGCCACAGAAGATTTAGGAACTGTGAAATTCAGTGGACGCTTTGGAGCCATCTTAAAAAAAAAACTTTACTCCTTCTTAAAAATTACAAAAATTCCTTCAAAAGAAAATCATAACTCCCTCAAAGGAAAATCTTTAAAATAATGAGAAAAATAAAAAAATAAAAAAGGGAGTTAGAAAAGAAGAAAAAAAAAATAAAAAAAATTAAAATATACACTCCAATCATTAAAATGAAAAAAAAGAAGGAAAAGAGGAGGGAAAAAACCAGAATGCCTGCCCTTTAAAAATACAAGAGACAAAACCACAAATCAAACCAAAACAAAAAGTTAAAATATACACTCCAATCGTTAAAGTGAGAAAAAAAAAGGGAAGAAAAACCAAAATGCCTGCCTTTTAAAAATACAAAAAGCAAAACAAAAAATCAGACCAAAACCAGAATGCCTGCCCTTTAAAAATACAAGAGACAAAGCAACAAATCAAACCAAAACAATAATAATACTTCTAAAATCCATCCAATTCATTAAAAAGAAAAAAAAAAGGAGAAAGTAAAAAAAACCGATCGCCACTCTAGCTTCCCCAAAAAAAAAAAGAGAAAAA